TAGTATGTAGAAATATGCGCTGGCGGTTACGTGGAAGAGCCCAGGACTTGTGGCAGATGCTACTCCCAATGCACCGTACGTGAATCTTCGTGTTGCTCCCATCAGTGCGCTCACAGAGCCTTGTCGAAGCTATGAGATCGGGGTGTGCCTTAGCGCCAGATGAGCGTCCGTCTGCTCCTTCAGGTAGGTCCCGCCAGGCGGGATCAGCTATGTCCGTGAGCTTATGGCTGTCGATTTTCTTTCGCTTAGAGCGCTGCTGCTTCGGCGCTTTGGGGGGTGATGATGCTGCATCAGACGCCTCGGCTCCGCCGGATGACTCTACTGATTCATCCAATGTAGCCTGCTCGTGGGTCGGCAACTATTCGGACTCGTAAGTGAATGTTCCGGTGACTGCACCTTTAATAATCTTACATCTTTTGTGTATACTTCGAAGGTCAGCCTGACGGAGTCTAGCACATCATCCAACCACTTCGAGTCAGGTAACATCCCGAGGTGTTGATCCAGCACGTCCGCGATAGCCTCAATGCCCGGGCCACGTTCTCTCAACACTGCGACTGTGGTGCGTGGTGTTCCCCACTGGACTTCAAGCTGGCGGTTTGCGGCTGCTTCCTGACCCTCTTCCTTCAGCCATTCCTCGTCAAGCCCAAATGCGTGGAAACCATAGGACGAATCTTGGGCAGAACGTAAGGGCAATTCATTCGGGAGATCTTGTAGGTATAGTCGCAGGAGTTCTATGTCTTTAGCATGCCGTTTGTCTGTCATGATTGACCGGCTTTCAGCAAGAATATGCACTTGCGGATTTTCGGTCTGCTCCCACTTGACAACACGCACGTGGCGGCTAGTATGATCATGTTTCATATGCCACAGGCGTTTACAGGAATGTGTACTAGTATCTACGCTGACGCAGGGTATGAGAAGTACAATAGGTGGACCCACAAGAGAGGGTTATGTCCGGATGTAGGCTAGGTACCGAATGGGTCAAATTAACTGAAATTAACATGGTCAAAACCGGGACCATCATTTTAGCATGTGATGAAGAGTTATGGAGGCAGCAGCACGCACAGTGCGCCCTACACAACTCACCTGTATTGAATGGATGCTGTAGCTACTGGTAAAGCTTGTATGAACGACCCCTTGTCATTAGGCAGCAGAGCTGCAGGGTTTATATACACTGTGGCCCATAGGCTGACTAAGCTACATGGAATATCTATAATCCTACTGAGCTCCACCTATGATGTCACTGACCCACATGAGCTCTGTGCCCTGTACAATAATGGAATATACCAGAATATTCCAGAGGGTTCCGGTACGTTCTGGTACGCTGTAGAACCTGGCAGCTAAGTCAGCGCCTAGTTCAACACTCCCCCTCGCTAAGTGCCGCGGATATTCGCGCACGCAAGCGTTGGGCTGACTTAGATTACTTGTAAAACCTAAGTCCAAGTTGCGCTCTGAAGCGCAGGAACTTGACATGTCCTAAGTTCTTAGTGAACATGTCTGCAGGGTTATTCTCGCCATCGATGTAGAATACTTCAACTTTCTTCTGCTCGATGACTTCCCTGATATAGTGATAGCGAATGTCAATATGTTTAGACCTTCGCTCGGTGACAGGATTAGACGCAAGGAATATAGATCCTTGGTTGTCACCACAAATAGGAATTGGGCCGAGTTGGTAGCTTAACTCTTCAAAGAGTTGTCTAACCCATACACATTGGCGGCTACAGTCACTGAGCGCCATGTACTCGGCTTCAGTGGAGGATAGCGCAACAGTTTTCTGCGCTCTCGACTGCCAACTGAATATGCCATTGGCTAATTTAAGGAAGTAACCGGTTTGGGACTTCCTGGTACTGGGATCTGATGCCCAGTCCGAATCAGTGCACGCAGTAATACCACGTCCACTAGCGCCATCAAAAGCTAGTGTGTAATTCCGAGTCCCGATTAGATAGCAGCAGATATACAGCGCTTTGTCTAAATGGGCTTGAGATGGATTAGCAGCAAATTGCGCTAACTTGGTAACTGCGTAGCTGATATCCGGTCGAGTTCCGAGCATAATATAGAGTAAGGAACCGATCACGGTTTGGAACCGGCTACAAAGAGTAGGATTGACCGGGCCATTGTGAGGCTCAGGTCGATAGCCTGCAGGGAGAGGAGTTGGCGCAGATTTTGCATTCTGCATGCCACAACGCTGCAGCACTTTATCAAGGTAGGCGATCTGATCAAGGTGAATCTCTCGGCCTTGCCTTGTAATGCGCATGCGTAGGAATTCCTTGACATCGCCAAGGTCCCTGCATTCCCACTTCTTCATGAATCGTGACTTAACATCTGTCACGAGAGACTTGTCCTTGCCAAAGAACAAGGCATCGTCAACATAGACGACTATAATTACCATGCGGCCATCCTTCTCCTTAAATAAGAAGATGCCAGCATCGGTAGTTAGACGTTTGTAGCCTAATTTCTCTAAAGACTCAGCAAGTGTGCGCCACCAGGCAAGCCCCGCTTGCTTAAGTCCGTAGAGTGCACGGCGCAGTCTACAAACCTTGTGCTCCTGGCCTTTTACGGCGAAGCCTTCAGGTTGTTCCATGTAAATCTCCTCATCCAGTTTGCCATAAAGATAGGCATTGCGCACATCGAGTCCAGATATGTGCCAGTCCTCAAGCGCTGCTAGCGCGAGCATAAGGCGCACTGTCTCAAAGCGCACAACTGGTGAGAATATTTGGTCGAAGTCTATGCCTTCAACCTGCGAGAAGCCTTTAGCGACTAATCTCGCTTTGCGACGTCCATCTGATTTGACGTCAAATACCCAGCGACATTTTATGACTTTACGCCCTTTAGGGCGGTCAACCAAGTCGAAGACTCTGCGCCGACGAAGTGCATCCAATTCTTCATGGCAAGCAGCTCTCCATTCCTTCTGCTTTTCTGGTGGTAAGCGAAGGATATCGCGGTACGTCCATTCTCTGACATTGGACGTGTCTGGATCATCTGCCTCGGGCGAAATAGCCTTCAGAAGCAGGTAATTGATCAATGGTACTCCCCCTTCCCGGCATAGCTGTGCCAGAAGTAACTCATCAGCATCGTGTTCAGACCGCTGGTCAGAGGCTTCAGGAGCGATTGGCTCATGCGAAGCACCCGGGGATTGAGCAGGAGGGTCGCGAGGTGGAGGGGCAGAGCTAGGTCCGGGAACCTGTTGCTTCTGCTTGGACTGGCGAGGTATGCGAGACGTCTTAGATTTTTCGCCAACTAAATCCTTCCACTTCTTGTCTGACTCAATCTCGCGATAGGTTTCTACAGGATTCCGCGATTCACCGTAGATGTTACCCGGGCGAGTTACTGGTTTCCTTTCTCTCACCGGTCTCCGCGGCTCGTCTTGTGGCGCAGGATCCCCCGGAGGTGGAGAAGGCGGGTTCTCAGGCTCTCGCGCCTCAGGCTGCGCAGGTTCGTCGTCACGATCCTGGCCTGGCCCCTTTTGGGATTTAGGAGGAGGACGTGAGTCTGGCTCATCGTCGTCGGTGATCCAGTCATCATCAGAATTGTCTGGTTGACTGTCAGCTGGTTTAGGCACACTTTGCAGCCTAGTGCTTGCCCGTCGCTTTGTATTAGGGCATTTAGGGAACATAGTTTCATCAAACAGCGCAGTAGGCTGAGTGACTATACTATTATTGGCACGCATGAACTTGAAGCCATGGCCGCCATCTGCGACACCAATGTAAGTCATCAGCTCAGCTTTAGGCGATAACTTATTGGGTCTGGTTTCCTTTGGCAGGTAGACGTACGCTCCGCATCCAAAGACACGTAAGTGCTTGATGTCGGGAGCTTCCTTGTTCAGGACCTCATAAGGAGTCTGCCATTGATGGCGCTTCAAAGGGGTCCGGTTGTAGACGTGAACAGCATGGTCTACTGCAAATTCCCACCAAGATGGAGGTGAGCAGGACTCTAGCCGCATTGACTGCGCTTTGTCCATTATCGTCCGAATAAAGCGCTCAGCGCGACCATTCTGTTGGTGCGCATAAGGTGCGCTTTGTCGG